CATGACTATGTTGTCTTTTATGACGTACCTCAGGAAGGAGGACCCTCTTCTGAAATGATGTTTAGAAAAAGAAAAAACTGAGTAAATTACGCTGAAAATTTATCAGAAGTAGAGACAGACTTAGATTACAAAGAAAAATCAAAGGAGGTGAGCGATATTAACGTATTTCAGTTACATTAAAAACTTAATGATTGAACTTTTTTTTTTACAATATGACCCTGCAGAATTCTCACACTGTGATTTCAACGAAACATACAATAATGCACGAGAACTATAGAACCAGGCAATATCATTTTACATTATATATTGAATTATGTACATGTATTAACCTTTTCTACCTTTTCTTTATGATACGGAATCAGTAATTTTGAAACGAAAGTCATCCTCCGATTCATCTGAAAAAACAACAAAAAATGTTACAATTGATCCGGAGAACCAGACAGAATCTAACAGTGATTCGTTAGAAAATAAGAATGAAGAAAGTTTTGAGCAACTTGGGACGCATACTATTATTGTACCCGCGATCAGCACTTCGGTTAAAGTACAGTCATGTTGGCCATCTCATGAAATATCATTCCAAAAAAATTACGGAAGAAAGAAAATGGAACCCATCTTCAGAAAAAAAAAGTCGAAGGCGTACTTTATGCGTACGCACTAAAATTGGAATTTGAGCAACCAGCTCATTCTTTTGTTATTGATACTGTACATCAGATGATAACATAAAGAATTTATTTACGAAAGAAGAATGGGAAGAAATTACGAACAGTAATAAGAAAACTGTACCAGGTGTTGATAAGAATCTGGCAAAACATTTGCTCAATTATAAAAAGAAGATTCCCTCAGAAATGCGAGCGCATGTTATGAAACCTTGACTAGAGACAATATATAAGCAAGAACAACATTTTGATTACCAATATATACACCAGGTTTTTACTTATTTGCTGGATGAATATGAGTTGCCGAAGAATTGATTGACGCAACCACATGCAGAGGGATGGTATGCAGTCAATATTTGGAGCATATTGATTGATAAAGCATTCTTAAACGTTCCAGTATAGTACTTGTTCGTGGTGAGACATGTAGTATTGCATCAAGCAACCGAAAGAATGATGGTGAGATGTACAGAATAAAGGGTCAGAGAAAAGCATTCGGACGTCGAATTGATGATATTTTTCAAAATACAGTTGGAGGAATTGAAGTCGCGAAAACATGTCAAGGTCCTCATAATAAGAAACATTTGGGTGACTCTTTGAAACTCACGAAACTCCTGAAAGATATATTTTATCAACAATCAAGTATAGTCCACCACAATGAGGTCATCGTCAAGAAAATTGAAATTGTTGGCTTGTTGCATTCACGCCACCAGTTACAACAACTTTTAATGGATTATGAAGGTGGTTCGTGTTTGCGTCTCAGAAAAGAAGAGAAATATTCCTTTGCATCTTGATGATGTAATGGAACTTATAATTCTTATTACAAATATTCTTCAAGCCAAGTTACGTGTCAAACGTTGCATTTAAGTGTTAAAAAACGAACCTGAGTATGAATCTTTTTTACGAGAAATTACGCAACCTCCCTCGCGTCCTTCTACTCCGCCTGGAACTATACAACT